CAGCAAAGGAGGAGGAGGAGGTGAGGGGAAGTAGACCTTTTTTTTTTTTTTTTTTTTTTTTTTTTTTTTTTTTAAGTCCGCAACTTCGCTGCTCAGATCTGTTCTGATCTGATCTGATCTGATCAGAACAGATCTGATCTGATCTGACGTGATCAGATCAGATCTGATCGTGTCATCCGAGATCAGATCAGATCTGATCTGTTTGATCAAGATCAGATCAGATCAGATCAGTCCACCTCCTCCTTAACATCGTCGTGCCCTTTTTTCCTTCACGTTGTGGCAATGGACCGGTGGCATCTGTTCTAATACGGTGTGCTTTCCATTTTGTGATCCGCACTTGCAGCACCATCTTCCAGCTGGAGGCGTACGGTCTGTTGTGCCCCCAACAGTCGTACCGTTTCTTAATACTGCACTCCTTCCTTTTTCTCTCTCCTTCTTCTTTCTCTATCTTCTTTCTTCTTCTTCGTTCTTCTTCTTCTTCGTTCTTCTTCTTCTTCGTCTATCTTCTCAGTTCATCATGGTGGCACCAGGCGAGAGCAGCAGCAGTGCAGGCAAGGACAAAGTGAAGGCAGGTGCACCCAAAGATAAGCCACCGTTCGAGGCCCAACCAGACAAAAAGCAGGAGGCGTTGCAGAAGGAGAACATCGTGTACAAGTGGATAGTGCGGGGGCAGGCAACAGAGCCAAAAGGGTACGGCCAGTATTGGGTCCGCTGCAAGCTCTGCCACCAGCAGTTCACTGCGTCCTCCACCCGAGCGATGAAACACTTCATGCGGAAGGGGAAGCCTTGTCCATATAGGAACGGGGAGATCCTGCATCTCCTGGCACTAAGGGGAGGGAAGATTGAGGGGGAGGCTACAAAGAAGATGGTCCATCAGTATCGTGTACAGAAAGGGATTGCAGAGGATACAGGGATGGAGCCGACTGGTGCATTGGTGACAGGCAAATCAAATGAGATGGAAGAGCTTCTCAGGCCGCCGCCTGCGCCTGGGAGAGAAGTTCGGGTTGAAGGGCAAGCAGCGGTAGGAGCCCCTGTGGAGGACACACAAGACAAAATAGTCCCTCCAACAGCGGGGCCCTCCTTCCAAGCCTCCACATCCGTGTCAAAGTCCACGAGAACCACACAGACCTCGATCCGGAAGTGGGCCGAGAACGCAACCCAGAAGAGGTTGGACACCCAATGGGGGAGGGCGTTGTTCAGGTCCGGGGTCCCTTTCAATTTCGTCAGACAAGATGAGAYGCGCGCCCTCCATAACCTGTACATGCAATTGGGGGCCACCAAGGCGAAGGTGGACATGTCGATGTTCGAGACAGTCCGCACCGCCATATTGGATCTTGTGTATGACCAGGTGAAGCAGGAAGTGCGACCCGTGATGGACAAGTGGGACATTTCAGGCTGCACACTCATCACAGACGGCACTACTGATCGAAGGTGGAGACCCGTCATCAATTTCATAGGCGTCGGGGAAGGAGGAGCAGTGCTGATCAAGGTGGTTGACATGAGCCATAGGAAGACGAATGCGGCTGCCATTGCCAAGTTATGGGAGGAGGTAATCCGGGAGATGGGGGTCCATAGGGTGAATGCCATCTGCACGGACAATGCACAAGTGAACAAACGGGCAACGAGGATCCTATCTCTTTGCAAGGATCCGTACATTGCAAGGATCCCCTGGGTCCCCTGTGCTGCACACACCTTGAGTTTGCTGCTGAAGGGTATCGCGAAACTCTCGTGGGTTGCTACGATTGTGAAGAGGGTGAAGATGATGGTGAAGTTCATCAGGAACCACCATTGCACAGTGGCTTTGTTCTCAGCATGTTCATTGGAGGAAATGAAGACCCTCATCATGCCCACAAAAGTTAGGTTTGCCTCAACGTATCAAATGCTTGAGAGGCTGTGTGACAGGGATTGGGTGTTGAAGGAGATGATGGAGAGGGGTTGGAACAACATCCATTGGAGCACAAGGAAGCTCCGTCGAAAGGCGGAACGAATATTCCTCACGGTCCGTTCCGACGAATGGTGGATCGAGGTGCAGCGAATAGTCAGTGTCATGCGGCCTGTGAACGAGTTGCTGCGTAGGATGGACCGCGACGGCGTTGCACCCTCACAATTGTGGGGGTTTGGGGAACTTTTGGAGAAGCGGTTGCGCATGATCTTCGGCCTCACGGAGGAGCAGCGGCAGGACGTCATGGCGATTGTTCATGATCGATGCAAGATGATGAGGCAGCTTGCGCATGCTGCTAACTTCTTGCTGGCGCCGAACAGGAGGGACCCTCGCTGGGTGTTGGACAAGGACAGTCTTTTGGTGCAAAATGCCATCAAGTACTTYGTGACGCAGCTCGGAGGGGAGACGTGGGGGTCGGAGCAGTCCCACGTTAACGTGTGGCAAAGCTTGTGGGCGTTTCATTGCGAGCCTCCGACGAAGGAGGAGCGTGCAAAGGAGCCCATGTGGGATGGCTTTGGCWTTGCAGACAGCTGTCTTGATCGTAAGACAKCATCTCAATGGTGGGCTTCATATGGTGGGAACCACAAGGATCTGCAGAAGATTGCTWCTCGTCTCACTRCGATGTGGAGCACGGCAACACCATCCGAGYGAAATTGGTYCTCCCTYGACCTCATCCATACGAAGAGGAGGAACAATCTCTCATCTGAGAGCCTCGCAAAGCTTGTATACATACACTGGAACATGCAGCTCCAGTCTATCCCGAAGAGCATGAAGGACGRCTTCGTTGATGTCTGGGCATGTTTCTTTGATGACCYGGAGGCTYCGCCCGCCAACGATCCTGCTRTTCTTCCACGACCCTTGGAGCTGGATGAGGAGGAGGTGTTGCGACAGGCAAGATTGAGGAAGACCCCCAAGGGAAGGGTTCCCATCGGTACGTCTTCGGACGAATCGGACTACTCATCGAGCGAAGAGGAGATCATTTGGAGTGGGAAGAGGAAAGAACAGCCGCCACGAAGTGTGAAGGGCAAGGAGAAGATGACAATGGAGGGAGAATACGATGAGGTGGATGAGGTGGACGAGGAGGCGTATGGGGATGTTGATGATGATGATGATGACCCAGACTATGCATTCTACAGCCGCGGGCTCGGTGAGGAGGACGAGCAAGACAGGGTACGCGGTGTTCATAACTGTCCTCCCCCTCCTCCAACCACTGGCATCGTGGACTTGGAGGCCGAGGGAGCCTCACATGATGACCGGGAAAGGGCTGCGGCAAAGGCCCTTGCACAAAGAGACTGGGCAGAAGTGCAGAAACGCATCGAGGAGGACAATGCAAAGCGCTTGGCAGTGCCACGTCCGGGGTCGCTTTCGGGGCTTAGCATGCCTCCACCAGCAGCTCGGGTCGTGGGCCCAAAGGACAAGCAGCAGCAGAAGGAGCAGTCACAACAAGGGCAGCAGGAGGAAGAGGAACACGAAGACCAGCGGCGACACAAGGAGCAACAGGAAGAGAGTCAGCAACAGGAGCAAAAACAGCAAGAGGAGGAGCAACACCAGCAGGAGAAGCAGCAACAGCAGGAAAAGCAGCAGCCGCACGAGAAGCAGCAACTTGAAGAGCAGCAGCGGCAACAGCACCAAGAGGACAATTAGTACCAAGCGGAGCAGCATCGCTTGGAACCACAGCAGGAGGACGACGGGGAGCAGCAGCAGCAGGGGGAAGGTGTACGAAAGCAGCAACGACAGGAAGACGGTCGGGGCCAGCAGCAGCATGACATGCAGCAGCAAGAGCACAACGAAGAGGATCAACAGACTTAGCAACTAGAAGACAAGGGGCAGCAGAAGCAGTAGAACCAGCAACAACAGCCCCACAACAGGAGCCGGAAGACATCCTGCAGCAACCGCTCAGCCTCCACACCGCGAGTTGTCCCCCTCCGTTGCCCCACTTGGATGAAAGTCTCGTCCATGACAACCTGGAGATCAGCAGGGCCGGGAGGAAGCGGAAGAATGACATTGAACCTGYTGTTGATCCAACAGTGAAGCRTGGGAGGGGACGACCAAGGAAAACTGYCGTGAACGCTGCAAAATYTGTCCTCRCCGCACCACCTCCACCATCAACACGTCCAAGGCGCACARCCCGAGCGACAAAGAAGCGGCACAGTCGGGTCCTCGAGGACGATCCGACTGCGGCAGAGGACAGCAGCGACAGGGAGGGGGACGACGAGTCGGACCCGGAATGGAGCTAGACGGAAGTCTAGACGACCAGCGCCTCTAGCTGTTGTGTTTCGTCCTGTCCGTCTTTCCTCTCCTTCTTTTTTCTTGTTCTTCATCGTCTACGTGTTCTCCTCCCCCTTCATTTTGTTGTATGATCTTAGTTTTCTTCCATTCCTTGAGAACTTATACAAATGACTCGCACAAACGCACACTTGTGGATGCCAAGCTCTCGTACCTTGATTTCTGCCCCTTTGTGTCGCTCAATTTCAGCAGTTAAAGTACTGTACTTGACATTGTCAGATGTTTGTCATGGAAGTCCGAACCGGGGGCTGATTAACATTTGAGTTAGCCTTTGTTCTCCTTGAATCTTCGTTACGATTGATTGTAGGGACAACTTGGCGCAAAAATCGAAGGTTTTGGTTTCAGAAACTGGATGTCCAAACTTGGTCGTTGCGTGCAGGTGGTTGTGTGCTGGTTTTGGTATCAGAAACAGAATGTTCAAACTTGACTCATAAATATCAGTTTTCCAAGTGTGTGTAAACAGTGGTGGTTGCATGCAGAGTGACGGTTTTCAGGCACCACTTGCTGAAAGCCTCAAACCGTACCGGAAAGTGGTTCGCAATCATTGTTGGCATTTTCTAGCTCATAACGGTGTCTAATGTCCATGCAGGCTGACACCACAACTGTGAACTGGTCTCATCGACTGCGGCCACGAACAAAGAAAAAAAAAAGAAATTATCCACAAAAGACACCGAGGACATCCCATCAATGCACTTCTTTGTGGGCCGCCCCCCACAACCCAGCAAGCACTTCTTTGTGGGCCGCCCCACTGATACACAAACCCTTCTTTATGGTTGGTCAGACTGATGGCAGAAAAAAAAAAAAAAAGGAAAAGAGAGGAGTCATGGGGCTGCACATAAATATGCCAACCAGTGGCAACCACCCTCCTCCTCAACCCCTCCTCAACTCCCCCCCCCCCCCCCCCCCCCCCCCCCCCCCCCCCCYCCCCCTGGGGGCCATACATTGAAAAAAAAAAATTGATGCGGATTTGAGCAGTACTCGGTGAGCGCATAAATGCCCCGCCTTAGTTAAAAAAATAAAAAAAATAAAATGGGGCCAAAAATCACTTGCCCGGGGTACCCCGTGCGGGGGGCCCGGGCTGCCCGGACCCGGTCGCCCGGCCGGGCAGGTTCGGTAGCCTAGGAAGGGAGGCTATTTTTGCTGGTTTAGCCCTAATTGAATGAAACCATTTAACCGGCCGCAATTCTTCTTTGTTTACATTCAGTTGTCTCATCCATCGGTCTTCAACTTTTTCCTTGATATTAATTCTGGGGCGCAACATCCGATATGTTGATTTTACCGATAAGGTGTGAAGAGACCAAGTGTACGAGCGACCTTGGTTTACTTTTGACGACCAAGTCCAACTTATTGGATCAAAGGGAAGATGGGATATGGGTGTGTCAGGTTTGAAAGTCAGCAACCTGTCTTTCACCGTTAATACTCTAATCCTGGATAATTTATCTTTATGGATTAGTCCCATATTCTGATGAGGAGAAGTTTTGATGAAACCATCTTCTCCTATATTGTAGACTTCCATTAGTACATCTGCATTCGAGTGTACTTCAGTAATCTTTCCCACCGTTTCTGGTTGATCATGTATGGATACGCAGTCGCTTGGTAAGAGGGTAGGGCCTTTTCTCAAAATCCTGGCCCAGTCCAAGGGGATAATATCAATTATCTGGTCCAAGGCTTCTTTCTGATGATGGCAATATCTCAACTTTTCATGGAGGTTCGGGAAGTCGATCCAGTACTTAGTCTCTTTATTCCAGATATCCTTGATTCGCGTTACTCCCTTTTTAATCCATCCTTTCCACGGAGCGTCCGTGCAACTTAGTGTGCAGCCTTGGGAGTCTCTGATTAGAGTATTGTTGAATAATTGTTGCTGGCAGACTTCTTCCCATCTTTCTGGGGTTACTTTATCCGGGATGGGTAATTTCCTCCAAGTTTTAAGGAGGTCTATCCAGAAGGGATCCCTTAATAAGTCTTCTCTGGCTACTTGACGATCAGATAACTGTAGATTAGGAGTCTCTGTTGAGGACGTCCTTGGGAGTGACCATGCTCGATTTTCTAACCACATTAAAGGGTCAACCTCATCTGGGGTAGTAGGAGTCAGGCGTCTAATCTGTTCGCAAGCTAGAGTAGTCCATGGAGTTTGGGGGTTGAATTGGAGGCGTTCTATCCATTGAATTGAGAGGGCCTTTGCCTGAGTTGTAGGGTCAATTATTCCAAGGCCTCCTCTTGATTTAGGTTGAATTATGGATTGCCTAGCCACTCTACTGAGAACGTTTTTGGATTCATGATTGCCTCTCCAAAGATATGCTACCAATTGTCTCTGCAAAGTTTTAATGGACGTTTTGTCAAGAGCCCAGATAGCAAATTTATACCAAATGGAGGCAAGGGCCACATTGTTGATTGCTAGCGATCTTCCTATCAAAGAGGTATGTTTATCCTTCCATAATTCTAGTTTTGAGGTTGCATGTTTTAAGATTCCTTCACTATTAGATGCTGGTTTGCCTAAGGCTGAGAGGGAAATCCCAAGCACTCTCACTGGGGAATCAATGGGTAGCCATTTGATTATTGGTCTTTCTGGTGGTCTAACTCCTTGATAGTGAATCCACCATCCTAAGGTTTTATTTCCCCAATTTCCCCTCATATCTGATATCTTACAAAATTCATCCATGATCCGTTGTGTTGCCTCAAGATTTTCATGTGAGGCCTCAAGCATAAGAGATAGATCATCAGCAAAGAGGGAACATACTGGTATAGCGTCCGCTGGTATGGATGTAATTTGAATGCGTTTAATGTCTTTATGGTGTCAGATGTTAGCTCCTAAGGCTTCCATAATGATTACAAAGAGGATCGGGGCTATAGGATCGCCTTGCCTAACTGATCTTTGTAATGTTATGGTCGGGGCTATGTTTCCATTTACCATGATTCTTGTAGAGGCATCCTCGTGTAAGATTTTAACCCATCTCCTGAAATTCGGGCCAAAATTAAATTTCTCTAGACATTTATCCAGAAAAAGTCAATCCACATGATCATAAGCTTTCTCAAAATCGCTGAAGATGAAAGCAGCATTATGTTTGGATTGGCGGGATAGCTTGACTAGCTCATTAATGAGTAGGATGTTATCCTGGATATTTCTTCATTGAATGAAGCCGGTTTGCGCTGGATGGATGATATCTGCAATATATTTATTCAGACGGATCGTGGGTGCTTTGGATATAAGCTTATATACTACTGAGAGGAGGGTGATAGGGCGATAGTTTCGAATATTACATTTATCCTCTTTTTTATACAGTAGAGTTAAGACTCCTTGCCCCACTATTTCTCCTAATCTGCCTGCAGCCCATACTTCGTGGAAAAAGTCCATTAAGTCTTGACCAATGAAATCCCAGAATGATTTCCAGAATTCTTTTGGTAATTCATCTATACCTGGGTTTTTTTCTTCTTCCATAAGCATGAGGGCAGTCCATATCTTGTTTTTTGTTATTGGTTTTTCTAGTATGTTTTTCTGAGAGTCAGATAATGGTTTTTTCAAGGGTTTAAGAAAATCGTCAATATCCTTGATTCGTTGATTGATAGGTGTGGTTGTTGTTTCTGATAGGAAGAGAGATTTGAAAAAATCTCTTGCAATTTTGGTACATTCTGCCGTGGATGTTGCCAGTTGTTCATTTTGGCGTAGAGGATGTGTCAGAGCGTTGATTACTATTCTCCCTGTCCTTGCTCGTGCCATGGCAAAAAACCTTGCATCCATTCCACCTCCAGTGACCATTTTCCGAAGCTTTCCCCTGATCCTAGTTCCTTGCCATCGATATTCCATGAGGGATAGGAGATGATATTCTAGTTCCTTGATTTCTTGTGCAATTAAATCATCATTCATTTCATTATTGAGATTATTTTCTAGTACTTGCAATTCCTGGATTCGTTGGTACAGTCTTGATTCATTGGAATGGCGTTCTGCTGCTAGAATCTTTGAATATTCATTACATTTACGACCTAAAAAAAGTAGACCGTTGTTGAACCAAGTTATGTTATCTTGGATGAGGTTCTTCTGTTGTCGCCAGAAGATCCAAACATCCTTGAGGTAAGTTTTGAATGTCTCTATATTAAGCAAGGATGTGTTGAGCTTGTAGTAGCCTCTACCTTGGTCAGGTTTTCTGGAGAACGAAAGAAGGATTAAGCACATGGCATGATTTAGACCTGGTAGAGGACTTTTAGGGAAGATTTCAGCTGCTTGTAGTGCACCTTCTAGCCCTTCTGATAAGAGAATCAGGTCAATCCGTGATTTAGAAATTGCTCTTGACTGGCTTTTCCTAAAACATGAGAAGGTACGCAGTGTTGGGTTTAGTCTTCTGAATGAGTCAAAAATATTAAAGGATTGGGTAAGATTAGTCATCATTGCCTCATCAACTGCTATATAATCTGGGAACGGGTCTGGAATACGCCATCGATCCAAGGATCTATCTGGGGCAGCGTTGAAGTCCCCTGCAATGATGACTGGGATGCCAATAGGGAGTTTGGGGATGAGAGACCCAAAAAACCGTTGACGATTTTCTGTTTCATTTGGCCCATACACACATAAGATTACTACAATCTCCAGGTCTAACATAGCCAATATGAAAGTCCATCTCCCTTCTTCCTTGTCAACCTCCCAGTAAACAGGATCGACTTTGGATCCTGGGGGAATCCATATTGCCACTCCAGCACTCCCTGGGCGAGGTGCGTGAGCCCGGAATGCTGTATGAGGCCATATCTGTTTATGGTAGTAATTATGGGTAGTTGTGTCCATCAGGTGGGTTTCCTGAATACAGATCACGTCAGGCCAATCCTTACCACCTATTTCTTTAAGTTGGTCAAAAATGGCCTGCTTCTTTTCGAATTTGGCAGAGGCCAGACCATTGACGTTGAGAGACCTTAGGTCTAAGTCAGCTTGCCTTTTGGTAGCTTTAAATGTTCTATCCTTATTATATATGGTGTCAATTAAATGGTACTTATCCATCATAAATCAACAACAATATAACATGATAAATCAAATAATAAATTAATAAATTAAAATAGCTTAGTTGGTTAGGTTATTGTCGGATCTTAACCACTGACCCAAATCCAACGTGCCCCCATGTGCTAGCGCTCGTTGATTTAAAAGGCGTACCAAGAGAGTACCTACATCTGTTTCAGACCAGAAGGTACTTGCCTTGATTTTTATGAGTTGTAATTCCATGAGGAGATCCTGATTGAGCCATTTAAGATTGGTCTGTTTACTTATCTCATATTGGAAAAAAACATCCCATTCTGCCAATCGTTGTTCTCCTGTCGTTACTATTAAAGATGCGATATTTCCAGGAGGGAGGGCAGACTTAATGAATCTGATTACTTCTTGTCTGATAGGGGGATCACCTGCCGAACTACCGTCCTCAGTATGAAGAGCTATGGAGGGAAAAGAGGTTCCCAAAATAGTTACCTCTCCGTAGAATGCTTCCTGAGGAACTGATAATCCTACTTCCAAGATTCCTTCTCTTTGCCTTACTGGCAAAACGAGAATCCCTCCTTTTTCAGGAAATAGTAACCCTTGGCCCTTTGCCAGGCGATGTTTTAACCTTTGCCTTTTGATGGTAAGTTCAACTTCTAGGGACACCTCAGTGGTGTCCTGCTGTTGGTTTCCGGGAAGGTCTTCAGTAAGGTCCACTACGTGTAAAGTCTGATGTTTGATTTGTGTCCTGTTTTGGACCTCTTCAATTCGGGAGGTATCATGAAGAACAACTTCTTGATGTCTATTTTCCATATTCTCCTGTCTGTTGTGAACACTGTTGTGGACGTGTGATTGTTGACGGGTTGTATCAATCTCCGAATTATAATCTTGYTCCCYGCCTTCCTCAGGARTTACTRAGATTGCAATAGATAGTGCGGGACCACAGTCCAATTCCCCTGTCTCTGTGGGTTGTTCAGTTTCTGAGACAGAATTTGAAAGCGGGTTGACTATTGATGTGGGAAGTTCCGCTTCACAAACAGCGATTCCTGTCGTTTTTAACAGTTCAGATCGTAGATTGGGCTTGGGTACAGACAGTTGTGAATGGGAAGTAGGAGATGAAGGAACTGAGTGTGAGCTCTCAGACCCAGGGTCCCATTCCAATAGTTTGTGAGGGTTTTTCCTTTGAGCAGTGGAATGGTGCTGATGTTGAGAGATAAACAAAAGTTTTCTCTCGCCTGTGAGATCAGAAATTATTTCTCTGAAGCTCGAGAGGGCACCTTTCCCCACTGTGCTAAGAAAAGACTGCTTTTGTGATTGGTCTGTATTTCGATGATCTTTTACCCGATCATCTGGGTCCATCTCCCTTGTCTGGGGGGATTCATGTCTAACCTTGGTGTGATGTGTATTATAGTGGTGTCATATATGTCAGCTGGAAATTGGGTCCAGCGTCCCTATACAGTGGTGTGAAGTGTGTCCTTTTTCTTTTTCTTTTTTTTTTCCCCTATCCATCTGATCTGCCATGTCTCCAAAACAAACTGAGGCATCGAGCCATGATGTGATGTATGTCAGCTGGATATTGGGTCCACGTCCCTATACAGTGGTGTGAGACTATGTCCTACAGTCAGACACTGTCTGTATATGTACAGCAATCCATATAAGACAACATCCAATCTGTCCGTCTTCATTCATCGTTTAATACATGTCCCCTTAAGGGAAAACCCTATCCCCTACCCTAGCATAGCACCATAGTAAGCAAGGCGTCGAGTCCAATTCTATCACTCATGCGAGAAATGAAGCTCTTTTTTTTTTTTTTTTTTTTTTCTGCAAGGCCCTTATACAAGGCCTCTATCCTGGTGGTGGTAAGAGAACCACCGGGATTGAGGCTTTGCCTGGCGGGCCGCTCCGTCTTCTGGTGGGGATCCTCACCTGCTGGGAACCGGGCCCAGCGTCCCATGGATACATCAGTACAAAACAGTACAAAACCGTACATCCTTGAGGAGGACGCCCTTGGGCTGGAAACCGGGTCCAGCGTCCCAAATCGAACTTCACTCCTCCCACCTAACCTGCAGCCCCGTCGGGTACTGGGGGGAGAACCACCAGGGGGCACCAGTGGAATCTCCCTCCCTCCCCTAGCTCCTGCCCTCCACCTACTATCCTCACGGCGTCCCATGTCCCATATACCAAAATTAGAATATCTGAGCAAAGTGAGGATTGTGGGGCCTGCCAGCGTTAACTACCCAGCAGCCCAGGGGATTGACTGAGCATTCATCCTACCGTACTTCCAAGCCTGTTTTTCCAATACTTTTTTTTTAAAAAGTGGCGCCTTTGCGCTGGAAACTGGGTCCAGCCTCCCATCCAATCCACTATACCATACCTATCTTGCAGCAGGCTCGGATATTGGGGGGGACCCACTGGGGGGCACCAGTGGAGCCTCCACCAAATGAAGCTCAAACACAGATCTGGAGCAAAACCCCAGAACTGATGTACTCTATGTGAACTGAAAACCGAGTCCAGCACCTCTATACTATGATGTGTGCAGTCAGATTGTAGATGCGCTTGACTCGCCTGTATCACCAAAAGGAACAGAGGCATTGATTACTTCCCTAGACAAGGGAAGGATTGACCTCATACTCCTGAAACATATATCCCCTATATCCCCTATACAGTAATGTATCTAGATGTCATATGCTCACTAGCAACAACAAACGTAATTATCAATTAATCCGATCATGATTAAGATTTTAAAGATGAGAGACAATCAACCCTAATCTTAGCAGGGAAGTAATTATCAACCAATCTGATCATGATTAAGAGTTGAAAGATGAGAGACAATCAATCAACCCTAATATTGGCAGGGAAGACATCTATCCTATCCCCACCTGGTGCCTGAAAAAGAGACATGAATCAGCATAAGCAAACACCGGGTAGGGGTGGGGGGGAACAGTAAGTCTTACATTCAATCTCAAACCCCACTTTGCCAGCCTCACCAAGTTACGAATTCCTCCCCACTGTGCTGATGGCGGCATCTTTCCCATAAGGCTAACAAGGAGCTTAGATACACAAATACCACTCTCCTCCCCGCTGCTCCCTCGGTTGCTGCCGCCATCGTTATCGTGATTGTTGTTGTTGTTGTTGCTATTCATGTTGTTGTTGTTGTTGTTGTTGTTGTTGTTGTTGTTGTTGTTGTTGTTGTTATCGCCATGGATGTTGTTGTCAATGTCATTCTTCTCACCCTCCTCGCCCCTTCCCCGCCATCCCTGCTCACCGTCGTTGTTGTTATTACTGTTGTTGTTGATGTTGCCATTGTTCTCTCCCATCTCAGCCATCTTGTTATTATCACCGTCTTTGTTGTTGTTGCTGTTGTTGTTGTCTTCGTTGTTGTTGTTGTTGTTGTTGTTGTTGGTGCTGACATCGTTCTCTCCCATCAGCTCCATCTCAGCCATAGTCATCAGCCCTACCTCCCCCACCCCCTCGCCCGCCTCATGAAAAGCAGCATATTCCCTCTTGTTAATACCCTGCTGAGGCAGAGGGTCGTTGTCATCGTTCTCTCCCATCTCAACCATCTCGTTGTTATCACCGTCTTTGTTGTTGTTGTTGTTGTTCTTCTTGTTGCCGTTACTGACATCGCTCGCTCCCGTGTCCAACATCTCGGTGGTAACCATCAGCCCTACCTCCCCCACCCACTCGCCTGCCTCATGGAGGGCAGTATATTCCCTCTCTTCAGTGTCCTGCTGAGGGTGAGGGTCGTCATCAGGAATGGGAGATGTTATTGTAGATGTTGTTGTTGTTGTCGGTATCATTACTGCCGTCGCTTTTGTGTGTGCTGTTGACGTCGCCGGTAATATCACTGTTGCCATCTGCCCCCACTCCACGTCCCACCCACCTGCATCACCAAGGCCACACTCCCACTCACCGCCCTGATAATCACTTTCAGATGCGCGCTCCTCGCATACTGCATTGATGGCTGCAAAGTAGCCAACGACGTCTTCATCCTCCTGCTCGCCAGTTTCGCAGTCGACGACGTCTACTTCATCCTGCTCATCGTCATCGATTAGCCCATCCACGTGGACTGCGCAAAGATTTGCAAAATACTTGACCACGTCCACCTCGTCTTGCCCACCATCCTCTCCATACCAGACATCATCATCAATATCAAAGGTCGTATCTCCATGTTGTGTCTCCCCCACCGACTCCATCACTAACCCAGATAGTTGCTCCCCTATACGTTTCCTCATCTTTCTCACGGCTGGCGCTACCCCTGCCCGCACGTCAAGGACGATCATGTCACCAACAGCAGCTGCCACGTGGCCAATCAAGGAGCCACACGCATCTGCCGGGCGCGCCCCACAGGCCTAGCAGCCGAGGAGCTCCTCTCCCCGGGCGCTAGTCAAGCCGGGAGGACTGGGCCTTACCAGTCCGCCGGCTTCAGGGCGCTAGCGCTAGCGCAGCTCGCCCCTCACTGCCAGACTGCTCCTGTTCTGTCATCCTTGCCTCGTTCTACACCACTTGCACTCCAGTTTTTGAGCGAAAATCTCCGTTCCACCCCCCCCCCCCCCTCTAATGATGATGGCAACGGTTTGTTTTCACGTCCAGGCTCTCTAGTGCGTGCCCTTGAAACTCAAGTGCCGCCGGGGCAAAATCACACTTGACCTCAAGGTACCTCAGGGACCCCATGGCCAATGGAGGTACCTCAAGTTCAAGTGTGGGACCCTTGGGGCTGCCCCGACGAGAGGACCTTGTGCACTCCTGGAACCATGAAACAGGGGTTGCAGAAGCGGCTTGCGTTTCAATGCCAGTGCTTTCAAGTATTTTGTGTAGTGCACATGGACCCAAGAAAAACTGTAGTGGAAATTGATCGCAATATGGAGATTAGGGCGCAGTTGAGACTCAGGGTTCTCTAGTGGTGTCAAACGAGGCCCATAGTGCTGGTGTAGGCCGTAGCCAACCTCCTCCTCCTCCTCCCTCCCCGGAAGAGACCACTGTCGCTCTTCTTATTAACCGGTAGCACCAGAGGCAGATGTGAAAAAAAAAGAGGTAAGTCCATTCATGTCACCTTTGAGTATCAAATGGGCAAAAAAAACACCCATCGCCAAAGAAACCGCGCCGAGTTCGAAAAGGTGATGGAAGTACCGACGGCTGTGGTGTCCGACCAGGTGTCATATTTATAGGGGTCGGCCGTGGTGTCAGAGGGGAAAACAAATAAAAAAGAAAGTGCCCAACGGATACTTTTGGACCGAAATCGCTCATTTCGAGTTGGCGTGTGGTTTCCTTGCCGCCGCGAGTTTTTTTTGCGTTTAGGGTGTCGAAACATGCCGCGTCCGCCGTTGTTTCAAAAAAAAAAAAAAAGCACTGTCATAGGGAGCTCTTTTTTTCTTGTTTTTTTTCTTTCCCTTCCATTTTCTTCTTGGGAAAATTGTTGAAATGGCCCTGAAAGTTGGGGTATTTCGTTAGATACCCCTAAATGGCATGGGTAGGGTGAAATGCCCCTATGACAGGTGAGAAACTTTGCGAAATACCCCACTCACGAATTCGAGCTGTCATCTTTTGCATATACCACTACTGCACCCGGGCCCCAAAAAGGGCCCGGAGGCCTAACGCTGAACAAGGGGTCCTTGGGCCATGAACTTATTAATTCGGGGGCTGGGCCCTGCGGAATTGGGCAAGGCCCTGGTACTTTTTCGTGTGGGGACCACGAGAGCCTGAGCAGGCTCAGACCTAGGTATGGAATGAGCCTTGGTACCAGGGCACTGCAAAAGGCCCGGTACACAACGAAATGCTCCCTTCACCAAAAACCCTTCGGGGCCCCGAATAGGCCCGGGCATAGGCTCGGGAAAGCTACGGTACTGGGGCGCTGCAACTTGTCGGCAGCCTCGGAGCATGCGAAGGCTGAGGCTCACTCCGAAAGGGGCCCGACAAAGTATAAAAGCCCAACTGGGCCCAGGTTCGGGACACTTCTCACATGCGCACTTATGGGCGTACTACGGGAGCTCGGGAGGGAGAGTTAGAACCGACACTTCCTACTTGCTCACATGCAGGCGCACAAGAAGGATACTCGGAGGAAGGAGGTACGGGGGGAGAGCGTGGAGCAGGATCGCACGTGCGCACCATAGTCATGTGTGGACACCCACTCCCGCACCATAACCACGCTCACGGGGGCGCAGCTGCGCACATCCCTCACGCACGGACAGGTGCAAACACGCCCGCGCACAATCGAGATCAGGATACGTAACAATCGCGCACGTCAGCGCGCGCCGTGGGCAATCGAGATCGGGATACGGAACAATCTCGCACGTCAGTGCGCGCCGCGCGCAATCGAGATTGGAAGACGCAACAGTCGCGCACGTCAGCGCGCGCCTCGTGCAATCGAGATCGGGACGAGGGGGCAGTCGTGCACGTTAACGCTCACCCGCGCGCAATCGAGATTGGGAAGCGGGAACAGTCACGCACGTACCACGTGCTCGCGTGCAATTGAGATCAGGACGCGGGAACAGTCGCGCACGTCAGAGCACACTCGCGCACAATCGGAATCGGTCATGGGAATAGCTGCGCGCACATGCGCGGCGCTGCGCACATTTGCGCATACCACACGGGCGGAGCTGCGCGCCCCCGCGCACGTTCGCGCTTGTGCACACGCACAACCGCACATGCACTCGCGTGAGTTCACGCACACTGCGCGCTGATAGGGAGCGACGCGCGGAGCCGCGTGCCCAAGCACACACACACGTGTGCACGCCCATGCACATTGCGCACACACTCGTGTGCGTTCGCGCACGCCACGCGCTAGTAGGGAGCATCGCACGGAGCCGCGCACCCAAGCGGATACACACACCCGTGACGTGAACGGTCCCGGGACAAAGTGGGACTTCTGGCTTGAACGGGGTCGGGGGACATCTGCGAACCGAGACTTCAGGCCAGGCCGGGACTTTGGGCGCACTGGCAGATCAGGGCATCAGGCACAGACCGGGGCTTAAGGCCAGACCGGGACTTTGGGCGCAGATCAGGGCATCACGCACATATCGGGATTTCAGGCCAGACCGGGACTTTGGGCGCAGATCAGGGCATCAGGCACAGGCCGGGACTTCAGGCCAGGTCGGGACTTTGGGCGCAGATCAGGGCACCCGGCAAAGACCGRGGCTTCAKGCCAGACCGGGACTTTGGGCGCAGATCAGGGCATCAGGCACAGACCGGGACTTCAGGCCAGGTCGGGACTTTGGGCGCAGATCAGGGCACCCGGCAAAGACCGAGGCTTCATGCCAGACCGGGACTTTGGGCGCAGATCAGGGCATCAGGCACAGACCGAGATTTCAGGCCAGACCGGTGCAGATCAGGGCATCAGGCACATACCGGGACTTTGGGAGCATATCAGGGCAATGTGCACAGACCGGGATTGGGCGCAGACTAAGACTTCAGGCCAGACCAGCACTTTTGGGCAAGGCCGAGACAAGGGGACCACCGGCCCGGGTCTGGACAGACCAAGACGTCGGACCTCACGGGGTTCAACGAGGGAATACCACTAACCGGGAAACGGGCCTGGTGATTCGGTTGACCGGGAACAGGGCCCGGTCGCTGTTTTTTTTTTTGAGGAGGTCAAGAGACAAGGCTGACTCATGGTGAAACTCGATCGTGAGCAGTGGCCTCAATGGGCCCTCGATTCTACTTCTGGCACGGAAAGTTTAACCACTGTTCCATGGGACCAACGAGCCCGGTATCGGTCACACCCCATCAGGCAAAGGATTCGCCCTAGATTGATAGTAAGATCGGTCGGGACTCATACCGATTTCCCTGACCAGGACGCGGGACGTATCTCTGGGCTCGGGAGTAGCGCTATGAATCCCATCATCTTTGATTAAATGGAAACACACTTTTTGTTCCTTCCAAACGGTGGACTATGAGCGTCTCATTGTTGTGTCTATGGTTGACTCCAGTTCTTATTGTGTGGATTTGGACGAACCATTTTTCTTACAGGTTACAGGAGCCCCGATCGTTCCTCCCACGGGTGACAGACACGGGGAGACACATGGGGTTCGATCGGCCTGCCGGCAGACCACTTCTACCGGTTAACATCGTTTCAGAAATAGAAAAGGTACCTGCTACCCACAGATAGTACAGGTTCAGACCAGAGACCGAGATCGAGTTTTCTAGACGTAACAGCTCGCCAGTCCAGCAACACAAAACCCCAAAGCTGACTTCTCTGTCAGCCACTTGTCCAATCACCAGACAAAGTTTTGAGACCCACTAGTGCTTCGGGAAACATTTTCCAGAAAAAAGAAAAAGAAAAGAAAAGGAAAGAAACAAAAAAAAAAAGAAAAAAAAGAAAAAAGAAAAGGAAAACTAAGGGGCCCTACGCTAGCAATGAGCACCCGTGAAGCCCAACAGGACCATGGTAAAATCACAAACCTACGTCCTACTTTTGTCGAAAAAGTGGGTGAAACCCGCAATCCATCCAATACGAGGCCCATAACTAAGCCTCAGGCAGGATTCGTCATCCAATTTGTCCACGGACCAAAACATTTGTAATCATACCCCTGAGTATCTGTCCCAGCCGGTCAGCACTTCCACCCAGTGGTCCCAAACACCGGCAAATTTCTTTGAGAAAGTCGTCGGTGCTTGGTCAAAGTACTCGTCAGGAAAGCCACGTTTCCGCAACGCAATCTTAAGAGTAAACAGAAAAACTACCTCCATACCCTTCATTGTCGTGTAGGCCTTCGCACTACGCAAACAAGAACTAATAACAGAAAGTTTATGTTGTCTCCCGCAATAGGAGTCGAAGTCTTGCAAGTTCTGGAAGCGTAGACCGTCCTCCTAATAATTTCGTTGATTCTTGTGCAAGGCCACACATTGAACTCCCCCTGGCCAACACAACGCTTTAATCATGCAACCCAAAAAGTCCAAACAGTCCCCAGTGTTGGTCTGCTCCAAGACCAGATTCCTTTTTTTTTTTTTTTTTTTTTTTTTTTTTTTTTTTTTTTTTTTTTTTTTTTTTTTTTTTTTTTCCCCCTTAAACAACGGACCCAGGGCCCAAGGCTGATATTACCAATATGAAGACTGAGGTGGGGGTCCTCACAGTCTACCCGGAGTGACCGAACCGAACTTGCTGAAAATAGGGCTCGGCATCCCTGATATGATGATAATGATAATGATAATGATGTCATTGATGATGATGATGATGATGAACTTCTGCTGATTCTATGTAAAGTGTGAGATAATCATACTAATAATGATGATGCTAATGATGATGCTAATGAT